AATAGCCCGCTGCCACGGATGCTGCACGTGATGTTGACGTCTTGTCCAGCAACCGAATTCGGATACGGCGCCGAGTTGATAGTACCTGGAACGACAAGGAAGAACGACTAACGAAGCGACTGTTGGGCAAAGGTAGTGGCAAGTACGGCGTAACTCAGTAGAAAGGCCGAAGCCTGACAAAAGCCAGGGCGAATGTGAAAGCAATCCTCGACAAGTAGACAGTGATGCAGGAATATCATGAGACAACATCGTGAGGGGGAACGGTGTGGCATGAAATATAATGCAAGGGTAGGATAGAGCAGGTATACACATAGTAGCAGACCACAGAATGAAGCGCTAGAAAATAGCTAATCAGGCATCAACGGAGAGAAACCCCCCCCCCATACCACAAGGTACCCGCTGAGGGATGTACGAGTACAGGTAGAGGTGGCCAAGGCTATACCGAACCGGTCACCCCCATGCCACGTTAAGGCGCCAAGACCTGTGGGGGCTGTGGTAAGCAGTCATATCTTGTGGGCGAACAGATTTACGGGCGAGCGAGAATATTTCCGTGATAATTGCACAACTTGCGTAAAAAAATGAATCTCTACTCTATGTCACTTGGCAGGTGACACAGTTGAGATATAGGGAGATACCAACAAGCGAGCAATATTGATTCACTCATGTCAACTGGTTTCGTCTCCAGTGAAACCGTCGGAAGATTCATCTTGCACTCTAGCTCTGACTTACCGTCTCGCACTACTATCTGGGGCTTCCGTGACACAGGAGTTCATTGACCTCATTTAACTTGCGCGTTTTGTTTGGAGGAGATGCTTAAAATTAACTACGTCAAGAGTCGTTTAGCATTCAGGAAATCGGCCTGGACCTGGGTGACGGACCTCTCATGCAAGTTGAGACACAACTAACGTTCGAGATGGGCCTAGCTGATGACGAGGAGATGCCTATGTTGTTGTGGTTTAAGTACTACCTTGTGGGTCGATTCGGGAATATAGTGTTGGTGACAATATGGAAAGTGTGAGGATTTCTGTATCGGAGCTTCACCCTAGTGATGTGAAAAAGATATTTCACGAGTATTGCATATCACCGCGAATATCGCGTTTTTCACCGAGTTTTACGACGCCACTTCACGTAAAACGGGTAGTTGTGAAACTCCACTTCACTTTTACGCGAATTCGTATGAAAATGAGGAAACTCCTGAGCTCAGGTGAAGAAAGCGACCATCATCGAAAAATCTAAAAAAAATAATTCTGAAATTTTATTCTCAGGTCAACAACGTGTGAGGGAAAATATTCACATGATCAACTACATGTGTTGGTGACAATACGAAAATTCTACGGAAATTTGGGGAAATTTTTCTTCGTTTCTGTACACTTGTACCTAAATTCCTATGATTAACTCTTGAGCTTAGCTGAGGAAAGCGAACCTATATTCCTACTCCAACACTGAATCTTAGTTAGTTTCTATTAAAATGGTCTACTTTGCAGCTATTTAGTTTTACGCACTCCGTAAGATGCGAATTGCGCTGGACGTAGCCTCGAAATCTATGGCAATTATCGACAATTACGGCTTGCCTATAAACCAATCGAGGCAATTATCCGATGCAATTCGACATTTGCACCGGAGTGAGAGGAAGAGTAAGCAGTTGCCTTTCCGTTGTTGACCAACGATATGGCTCTGTTGCAGGTCATGATGGAGGTTATTCAGGGTACTAAGGTGGCTAGGACGAAATTTAATCAGGAATTAGGAAATTTTCACGGTTTTTGTTGGAGGAGAATTCGTATTCTAAGAAAAGGTGTAAATATCACGTCTATTGGTATTACTTTTTGGGAAATTTTCCTATTATTTTTGTCCTTTTTTTCCGTAGTGTTTTTATTTTTTATGGTTTTATTTTACTCTTTAACTTCTATTTTATCAGTAATGTTGGAGTTTAACAACCCGTTTCACGTGAAGTGGCGTAAAACTCGATTGCCTTTTTGTGTGATTTCTACCCCATCTCTATCTAGATTAGTTGCTTGAGTATTCCTGATACGTATTTTGATCATTTTTTCAAATTTCTTCAACGATTTTATGAAAAATCAACCATGTGAATGTATGCATTTAGCAACATTTTCGTATAAACATATAGCTGCATCGCTCCGCTAGGAATGTTCTCATAGTGATGAATAGCATCGAAACTTTGAATGGAACTTTACTAAGTTGGCAGGCATTCCAAAGCTGATGCGCGCACGAGGCGGGATGCTGAGCAGATGCGGAGAGTTATGATTTGTTAATATACTCGTGTTAAGGTAATCAGCAAATGGTAATAAAGAGTGTCTATGTATTTATGGACACTTGCGATGGATGATTTTCCTTAATTCTACACTCGCGCTGGAGGATTGACGATTTTTTTGGTAATAAAAGGAAAAATTTCCAGAAAAAAACTGAAAATTTTCTTGTTGTGAGGAATTTTTTCTCACATGAAGTTGGTTTACTCTGAACGTCAGTTCGACTTTGAATTTGGGCGTATATATTTCTCTATCGAAATTGGACTCTTTTACTCGTGCTCGAATTTTATGGGCATATGTGAATGAACGTTGAATTGGATGTTGTAACTCAGTTTATTTTGGTAGTCGATCTTAATTTTGTGGCGCGCGAAATTTTCCAATGGTGGTCAGGTTCGATCGATCAAGATAAGACTAGAGCATATGCTAGTTTGGAATACCATCATAACCTTATCACGGTGGTGTTGGGCAAGCTGGGTGAATTAAGACATTCTTCGTGTGCGGGTGTTTCTATTTATCAGTGGAATTGTTGCTGTTGTTGTTGTTGTTGTTGTTGTTGTTGTTGTTATTGTTGTTGTTGTTGTATATGTTGTTGTTGTTGTTGTTGTTGTTGTTGTTGTTGTTGTTGTTGTTGTTGTTGATGTTGTTTGAAATGTGTTGTTGACTATGGCTATGATCAGTTGACTTGAACGTTCCGTTTGCCTATGCGCAGTAATCCAACATACTCGAACGGCGTCTCGAAGAGCGTTGCGGATCAGAAAATAGATTTTTCCCGAGGTTGCGAAGGACTTGAGAGAGGACCGGTGATCCAAGTTGATGAGTACCCGGCACCGTCGCTTTTCTCGGCTATATCGGGTATGGGTCTGGAGAAGAGTGCTGAGTAAGTGAGTGAGTTAGTGTGTTGGTTTGTCATTGAGGCGACTCTGGTTCGATTCCTTGTTGTTGCATTTTAGTCTATATTCATTATCTTCCCACACGGTTGACAGCAGCTTGTTCAGCGCAGCAGCAGCAGCAGATTCGGTTTCTAGTCGGCCCTCGCCAGCAACAACACAACATCTCCTCATCCAGGATGCAATGGGACTCACAGTGGATATACTCGTCACATATGGCGTGTCCTCGGCGGGTAATAAACGGCCGTTTAGGAGCGGGTTAAAACAGTCGTCTAACGCGATTTTTCTCACTGTTGTTGTTAATTTGGCAGGTATCGACATCCTGAGGTCCCTTGGTTTGGTGACAGTTTCCGATCTAGCTACTTTAGACACTGATTCCTTGGCTCAACAAGGGTAGTCGCGCATGCATTTAGCGCTCGCCCGATTGATCGATTATGATTAGGTTTAATAGAAAGGATGTGGATACTCTAACTCGACTAGCGGTTGAGGTTGGGCAAGAGAGTATTAATGAGAGATTTGAAGAAATTCAGGAGGAACTGAGGAAAGTTTATGATCTCGGAGGTTAGTACTTGTGGCGTACTAAATAGGAAATTCTGAGGGGAATTACGCCGATCACTAGTCATCAGTGATATGAAATATATGCAAATGTGCGATATTTTTTGAGATTAATGAGAATCGATGTAAAACTATATTACATATAAAATGTAAGAATGGGTATAAACATGTGTTGTGATGTTGAGTACCCGTTTCGGGACTGTGATGATAGCGACAACTTGTTCACTATAATATGTCCTATAACACATATCAAGTTGACACGTACTGTATTTAATAACAAATTTTGAGAGGAATTACACTTATTACCAGTGAGAAGTGGTTTGGGGGTATATGTAGTATGTATTATCATCATATCAACATGTCGTATACATAGTAGTGTTATTATGATCTTGCTAGTCATGGGTATATCTTCGCCTCCCTGTGATAAGTGTATGTATTGGATGCTGGGCGAGCAGAAGGCTGTATATGGCGTTTTGCGTGGAATTGGGGAAAATCGTCACGAAATCGGAATTTTTCGCGCCTAGATATACTATGATGTCCCTTTTTTTCAGAAGATCATCTCCTACCGATTAAAAATACCTTTATCAATTTCCCACCGTCACAACTGCCCTCGTCTAAGAAAACTCCCCAGAGTTGCCCAGTTGACATGTCCATGACTCTTCCGAATGTAGTATTACGTGAAGTGGCGTAACACTCGGCGAAAAACGCGGTGATATGCAGTAGTCGTGAAATATGTTTTTCACTAGGGTTTTTCGTATCACTAGGGTGAAGAAACTCCACTGTTTATGGGAGTTCACCATCAAATTGAATTCACCATTAATTTTAACTGACATGGTTTTGACAGTTTGACGTTATAAACGCACCAGTGAAGAGTTTTAGAATATGAAGTAAAAGTAGCTTATTAGGAAATGGGCTAAAGAGGAAAATCTTGTGTGGGAAAATATGCACATGATCAACCACATATGTTGGTGACAGTATGAAAATTCTGAGGAAATTTCGCGAGATTGTTGTTGATTCTTTTACCTTGCTATATAAATTTATATTATCAGTAGGGAAATTCCTAAGCTCGGCTGAGGAAAGCGAGCATATATTTCTCCAACACTGAAAAAGTCTACTGTATTTCAAGTCATTAATTTTTCTAATTATTATTTATTTTCATTCAAATTTTTTTAGAAATGAAGCAGATCAAACGATATTGTATAGGTGGAGGAATACGGAATAATGTGGGAAAATATGCGCATTATCAACTACATGTGTTGATGATGACAATATGAGAATTCTTAGAGGAAATTTTAAAGAAGTACTTTTGGTTTTTGTATACTCGTATGATGAGTCATGTGTAGATCTCTGTATAGGAAACTCGCGGGCTCATCTGAGGAAACTAACACTGGACCGAATCGAATTAAGCGTTTAGAGCCGTTGGTTTACCGTACCGTAGGATGTTTATATATGAGCAAAAATCAAGAAATCGAAATGTGAGGGAAAATGAGTTTTTTCGTTTGGTGTTGAGTGGGCTTGACCGTGGCTCTCGAGGAGAATTGATATCAAATTTTGTCATAAGTATTTCGAGTGATATTGTAGCGATCGCTCAGCTGAGTCATCTTCTTTTTTTCAGTCGCTTCATACTACTGTTGGTAAGGAGAGTAATTTGAGCCCAGTGGCATCGTCTCACAGTCAAGAGAGGTCGGGGCTTTTAAATTTGGATTTACCTTTGTATCCTAGCATAGGGTAAGTTTGGGTATTATATTGTCGCAAGGCGATTGAGTTTTTCAGGTCGAGGTTGCATGCTTCGGGAATGTGCAAACCTTGTGCATGGTATTATCATGCTTGTGGGTGTCGCCACGGTGCACAATGCGAGTTCTGTCATTTGTAATAACGAACGATTATGGGAGATCAATCCTGGGAGTTCACTCCTTTATCATGATAGCATGTCGGAAGTGTATATTTTAGTGCGTGAAGAATTCCCGTTTTGGAATTATTCACTTGGTTGATAGGTGTCCTCCTGGTGAACTAAAGCGTCGTAAGAAGGAGAAGTTACAGATTATAAGATTGCTGAAGCAAACTGAATTGCATCAAGACGGAGCACAAGAGGATCTGCACACTGGGGATCAATATGGAGCGATGGGTATGTACAACACAAATGCATCGACGAGCGAGGAAAGTCATCATATGAAGTCTAACGACTCAGCATCTCGTCGTCATCATAATCATAATCACAATCGATATACTCCCACTGATGGAAGTATTGAGGAATTTTCTCAAAATCTGGTGAGCACGGCATTCTATGGTAGAGGGTGATAAATGGAGGCGATTGTGATTGTCGTCTTTGTTGTTGTTGTTGTTTAAATTTCTGGTGGTTCATTGCTGGCCTTAATTGTTGTTGGATAACGAGAGAAGTCTCTGCCTTTGAATGGCCGTATGTTGTTTGTTCGGCGGCACTTTTTCATCATCATTACCTCAGCTAAGACCGACTATTATTCATGTTTGGTGAGGAGTAGATAGTTTAAAGACGTTCTCAAGACCTTGGTCATTATCTGTTGGTATTAGCATCATCATTCATCTT